TTGGGTTTCCTGCATTGAATAAATTGAAATAAAAGTGATTACATAACGAAGAGGAACGTAGTAAGTCTCTTTCGTGAGGAAAATAATAAAGTTTCTCGAAATTGAAAAGTTTGAATGAGTTGAATTAAGGCATAGTTTTGTGATGTTTCAAACAATGAACAACTTGCATGACTCTTGAACATGGATGAAACTCTCCAAAGGTTACAGAGGTGTTCAGTGACGTCACTCAGGTTACTCCTTCATACGTGTGAGGATACTAGATGTGGGCGTTGCATAACTATCGTTCGCTGATGCAGCCCGTGAGCAGAATAATCAAGCAGTTGCTTCAAATTCATTATGCAAGCAGCAAAGCAAAACTATTTGGGATATTTTGTTTTTTTTTTCCTATTGAACATTTACGATTTTATTAATAATGAAGCAAGTTTTTCCTTTTGGGAGGGATTTGTTTCTTATTTCACTACAGTGAAAGGAACATTCCTAATTCCACAATATTAAAAAAGTATTTATGAGCCAGAACCATTTTTTAGCTCAGCTGTCGACTGTACTTCCATTATTAGGTATCACACTGCCGCTATAATTTCTTATCATAATCGAGATGAAAAGTCATTGCATGCATGCTTTCATTAACTTAAATCAGGTCTAATCGTGAATACATCTTTCTGTTTTTTTTTTCTACAACCTAATAGATGCTTGGGTACATCTTCTTGTGAGCGGTACATCCATCCCCTAGGAGAGGGATGGAATACCTGCCCGAAGATAGAAGACATTCAACCAAGGAACCTCGGCTTACGGCAACTCGAGGAAAAGGTAACAATGAAATCCATTTCGTGCCAATATGGTCCCATCTTGACCTTCTCACGAAACAACTGATTTTCCTAATAATTGCTACTGAACAAATCTCTCTGTATGCGAGGCACTCCTTATTAAGGAAAATATTTTAAAACAGCATTTGCATCAATGTGTCACTTCAGGGATAGTTACTCACAAGCTATGCACTTTAAAAATCCAATATCACATGAATAAATGTTCATAACCTTTCCTCAGCTCAATGTATTAACATGCAACTTCAAACATCGCATGGGAACTTATCACGAACGTGCATTGGAAATTTTGTAAAAATAGCTGTTCTGAGAACAAATGTCTCCATAGAGTATTCTCATTTTTCATCACAGGCAATCATACGGGTCTCTGTCCCAACGTCACAGAGAAATTGGAATATATCAGAGAATGTGACATGTTTCTTCCATGAAAATATGGTGAACTTTTCGTCACACGGAACCTGGAACGGCCGTTTCGAATGTCCCTTTCCAAGTGGCATCCAAGTCCAAGGTAGGACCTCTCACTGACGCCAGAAACCGTCTTTCCCACTAACTCCAAGTTTAAGCTGTTGAATTTCCTAAGTATTGTAACATAAATTCAAAGTTTATTTTATATTTTCCTCTCCTCCATATTTTCTGTCGACAGTGAAATATTAAGACATGGAATCTGGCCAAAATGTATTGTCAGCCCCTCTCCACATTGATGCATTTCATGTACGCTCGATGCCCATGCCCATCCTAACCCTTTTGGTACGGCGAACGTAATAGTTACGTTCAGGATAAACTGACCTCCAAGCATAAAACCACGTCCTGGAGGGACGATGGGTTGAACACAACTCGAAAAGTTCTTACGGAAAATTCCTGTTACATGCCATTTGCGTGACCTGGAATCGGAAAAGACTAGAAATAAGAAAAAATATAGGCACAATGCAGGTTTAACCTTAAGGGGGGCTGCCCTTTCTGAAAATTGTGCTAGGGCGAAGGTGTTGCATAGATGTCGCATTGCGTCTCCCCGCCACTCCTTCCCCTCAGGGCTCACTCCAACGGGAAGCATTTCTTAAAAATCTATCTACCTCCATTATATCTCTTATCGAGGGGAACGAATTTCCCCTTTTTTTTCCACCTCCTTTCAATTTCCGGTTTCTGTATTCATAGCCTCGAGACATCGGCGTGGTCATACCGTTTCGAAACAATATGTCGTCGTGCGAATAAAAAAGTATATATATTTAGCTGATTTGGTGCATATCACTCTATTTCTTTGACATGGTTCTACTTGAGACATGCTCATCGATGCACACAAATGAGATCCGAAATGTGACTTCAAATAACATGAAAAAATTCGCATCACAATGCAGATAATATACTCTGTGATCGTAGTAGCAGGCTTTTATCACTATGTTAGATCTGTCATGGAAAGTGAGAGGTCCGCAATGGTCATAAACCTCGTCTCCATTTCCTATTAGCCTAAAATTACCTCTCCATCTTTCCTCGACTTTGCGTTCATTGAACATGGCGATGCGGGCTCCTGTTCTCTAATTTATTTAATAGCAAGGAACCGAGATCACTCTATGCCTGAGAATAGTTTTTTTGGGGGGAGGGGGAATCCATCATTAGAGGAAACCTAACGAGCTCATGGTCAAAATGCAACATCCTCATGATCGCTCCCTACAACTCTTGCTCTGAATAATTACTCTAACTCCGAGCTTCCCTTGACTTCGTTTCATCCCTGAATACGACCATACTCCACCTCCAGACGTAATCTCCACTCCAGGAAGGATGCTTTCTGCACCTCCACCATTTCATTGATGAGGTCTAGCAGTTTTGCCCGGGGACAGGAAAGTGAACGGGGGAATTGTCAGTTCTAGGTCAAGAGGAAGTCATGGGAGGTGAGACTTCTACACTTAGGCGATAGGAATAGAATAAATGGATCACATCACTCGTTACCCAGTACGTCTTCACGGATTACGTTTTCCAACCGACTCGATTCTGAACACGAGCGCTGGGAAGGGAGAACTTCCTTTATGGACGTGATGAGGCGAGGGTGAGCATTCTCCCGAAAGGAATTCATATCCTGACAGTGGAGAGGAAACAATGAGAAACCAGACAATGAAGGACAAATTATTTCTCAATTCCTTTTTCCTCATGGAAAGAGCGACTTTATTAAGGATCACCTCTCCTCTTTGACCTGTCTGTGATAATGTGAAAACAAGTTTTCGGTGTAACATGCATAAAATAATATCCTCTAAGAAAGAGGTGAATACTACCTCAAAGATGGCTCATTGGATGGAGAGGGACACCGAGTGAATCTTCCTCACTAGCGTCAGACCATTTGCGTTTGGATGCGAACAGGATCTGTCAATTGTCAGATATCTACCCATCTACACAAAATAGATTTTGGCGTTTCTTTCAGTTCAACGACTAACATGAACCTATGAACCAAAAACAAAGCATGCAATTATTCAGTTTCTGATACAAGGTTTTCTGCTTCAATTTCCTCGCTGAAATATGTTGGCAGTTAGGCTTTCTCATGTTTTCCCATCGAAGAGACCGGACTGGGTTGATACTCAAAGGGAACATTACTCTTATTGCTGTCATTTCTCCCACGCAAGGATTTCAGTACATTCAAAAATGATGAATGGCGGTCTCACTATAGAATCCTTTGGAAACTTTCTTGATGTAATGAGGGCATGATTGGGCCAGGAAAACGGAGCCGTTTTCATCGTGGAAAGCTGTATGGGCCATCGACAAATGATTTCCCGATTCCCGTCCCATTGAATTAATTTCTATTTATTCAAATCAGAGGTCAAGAGAAAGCTTAGGTTCTCTATCTGCTCCCATTGCCATTGTATTGCAGGCCGAGATATGTATTTGACGTGATATCACTGGAACATTCTTGAAAAAAAAAAACTGTTCATGACGCACTACAGAGATTACATTCCCGATTTTATATCGCGGAGCATACCCAGTCGTTTACATGGACAGGTCATCGAATAAAGAAGTCATTTTTGAATGAAGTCGTCATGGAAATTTTCCACGCCATGGAAAGAAAGGGGATCCAATTTCTGGTTTCTTCTTGTTTCTCCTTCACTTCCTCCCCTGTCTAGACGTGGGTTCCACGAGGGGGGATGCCTACCCTCTCCGCTTCACATCCATGGAGGCTTTCGTCACAATCATCCTGAGTGACCAGCTGATAGTAAACAACAGGGGGTCGGGTCCTCACTAGAGAGCAGAAATTACTGGTAAAGTGGAGGCCATTACTCACCGGTAATATACCGGTAATTGCCGATATTTTACCGATGTATTACCACTAGGTTACCGGTGCTCCAAAAGTGCCACATTAATTTATTATTATTATTCTCAATATCCTCTTTTGGAAACCATATATAGCCAAAGCAACGTCCCACTTGTGAAATATTGAGAGAGACAAGCTTTGGCAGAGAACTAGAGATGTGGATGCCGAGACAGCTAGTGGATATTTTTTGTTTTTGACGTTCATAGTGCCAAAACAAACCAAATCTGAGAAATGCTTAAAAAATATAGGTAACATATGTTGACCAGTTCCTGCCCTTCTCGACCTTCTGGTCTTCATAAATATTTACGTCACGTCCATTACTTCCGTCAGGCACACTTCCAAATGGCTCGAAATGAATCAAAGAAAGGAAAAAAATAGTTATGGCGGGGAAAGGACACGTTTAATCAGATTTAAACTTGATTATGTGCTGAAATTAGAAGTGATGCAGCATCTGCTAACAAATGTCAATTGTTTACCACAGCACTACATTTATTCTTCTTGCAATCAGCTACTTCAAATCATCTAGCTGATAAAAGTTAACCGTGAGAGCCTGGCGATAGCTTTCATCGGTATCATAGAAATTCAAAATCCGCTTTGGTAACTAATTTGCATTCTGGATGCAGGACTCATTTGCATTGCCACACACTTAGATTTTAAAAAAAAATTCCTATTTGTGATGACGGTGATGAAGACTATCGTAGCAGCATGCCAGTATCTTTGGGAGGTCATGGCAGGGATCGTGCTCCAGGACTCAAGAAGCTTTTCTTCCAATGTTTAAAAGAAGGAAAAATGCAATGCTTTGACTTTTCTTGCTTCCAGGTTTCGAAAAAGCTCAACCTTGAGTATCTAGTATGGCTTCTTTAGTCTCCATTTGTACATAAACGTATCTCATGTATGCTGCAGAAGTGGGGATATACACCATCACCATCGAGACGGAGGAAGGAATGCGCTTTCATGGACAAAATTTCACTGCTTACAACTGTAGTTACTACAGAACATGTTCAAGTTGCCTTGGGAATTCTTATTCTTGTGAATGGTGCATTTCGGACAACAAATGCTCAATCCAGGGATCCAACGCATCCTGCAAGAAGGACTGGCTCGTGAAGAGGGTACGTTCATATTCCTATTTTGAATATTCACACGATCTAAGTATTTCGAGTATGTCTAAGTCCTAGGAACGTGGTCAGCTCCCGGGTGTAATACTCCATATTTAGGGAAATCCTTCTCAACAATGATCGGTCTTCGATCCAGTGACTGTCCCTAACTCCTAGATCTAAGTAGGTATGTATAGTTCGGTCTCATATATTATTTTCTTTTAATGAACTGTAGGATATGCTTCTCTTGGAAACGAGTCTATTATAAAAAGTTGCTAATAGAGAAAGTCCTCGAAATCTTCGGGTGTACTTAACGTGAGGTTGTATTAATACAACCTCACGTAAAGAACTGATTCTTTTTTCGCAAATTTATATAATTCGTACGAAAATAGATGAGGTATTTCACAATGTAATTTATGAATGCCTCCCTATCAGAATTTAAATGAAATGAATGAAAGGCCATTGGAGGCTATCATTTCACACCATGCTTACTATTGCATTGGCCTGTAACAGCATATGAGAAATCTCATACTTCCCGTATTACTGTTTCTGACTAAGCAGGACATTATTCCAAAGGTCCATTGGCCTGTTCCAGTTGTCGCTAAAGTATTCAACATTTTCTATTCATGAAACTCATGGATATTTAAGATTAGATAACATGTGACTTTGGTTAGAGGTCGCCATGGAAGTGAATACTATAAACTAATTTTTGCTCAGTGACGCTCATGTTTCTTTAGCAATGTCATAAATCATCTCATGTCATTTGACATATTAATTTTTTGCAATCTTGATGAAACTTCTATATTAGGAATAAGTTATCAAATCCCAATTATGAGTCGACTTGTCTCTGAACCAATGAATTTCTCATTGCATAGGGATGTAACCCCATTTCTCACACACAATTGATTTCACCTGTTACGCAATAAGAGAACTTGAATTGGTTTATCTCTTAAACACAAATTTGAATAATTATATCCGGATAACACAGGTTAGAACGATACCACATACCATACTGTGAATCATGTCAGGAATTCCTAGGAAATCCTAGAATATAGCGTATCTCTGATCTGGACAATTTCAAGTACCTAATGTATATTACGCACTTCCTCAACAGGAGAACTTTTCGAATAGCCCGAATAAGGGATGTCCAAACATTATTGGATGGGATGTTGATGGCAAGACAGGGTCCTCTCCAGATATTATCGTGCCTTTTCCAGGAAATACTTCACTTAGACTTCACATCGAACAATTTCCGGTATGTTATGAGAGCTTGCTTGATAGGTACATAATAGGCATGAGAGTAGCTTTTGAAGCGTGCCGAGTAAGATAGCATTTCACGTGTTTTCTGAGGATGCCATGATCTGTCTATTTTTGAAGTAAACGAGAATATAAGAGAGGATGAAACAGTGTGATCACTTTGCGGGAAACATATATACAATAAAATGTTGAACCTCATTCATATGAATGCACCAGAGTACGCCCACTGACCATGTGAATTCAGCTATAATTGATTTGAATGTATCCACAGACGCCACTTTATGAAGATACACTCCAACTTCAATGTGTTTTCGCGTTATTGAATGGCACAAGGCTGAAAGTTCCTGGAAGGGCTAGGGAAGCTGAGCCCGATTGGATCGAGTGTGAGGACTTTGATCAACTCCTGCATCATGGTCCAGATATTGCGTCAGAAAGAGTCAATCTTACAGTGACATGGAATGAAAAAGAGCATCCTCTCGATAACCAGGCTGACATTCATGGTGAGGAACATCACTTTGTATAACAACCATCTGAATATGACTCCACGTCTGACCTCATACCCCGGAAACAAGACCCTGATATTGTACTTCCTCTTTCAGTGGAAATCTTCGACTGCTTCCTTCTGGGGAACACTTGTACATCCTGTTTGACCTTGGAGGAAAAATTTGATGAATGTGGTTGGTGTGTACCAGGAAACCGTTGTGGACTGAAGTACTCATGCGACCCAGTAGATTCATGGCTAGACAGGGAAAAGCAATGCCCAAATGTTGTCATTTCCGACTTCTGGCCCAGGAAGGGTCCAATAGAAGGCGGAACTCAAATCACAATATCTGGTGTAAACATGGGGAAAGAACTATCTGATATTCATGAAGTTATCGTCGCTGATACACACTGTGAACCACTCATTGACTCTTACATCACTGGAGAAAAAGTGAGTTCAATGCTTCCTTGTAAAAAAATTAGCCTCCCTTTCTGCCTTGTTATACCTAGTATATACGTTGTGGCCTGCATCGGCTAAGAAGCCTTTTGCATTCAACATTTTATTTTAACCACTTTTAGCCATAGAAACATTTTTTTTCCCTTGTATACGCATAGTCTGAAGAAATATGAATCCTGGAAGAACCGAAAGAACAATACGAGTCACTATGAAAAATTCCATGATTTCTCGAACGAAGACTGGAAAGATTGGGCTTAGTGGATTTTTCACTCCCTGTAGTTCATAATGTAACGATTTCTGTAAGCCAGCGCTTAGTCTAACTTTCTGAAATGGTGTAGCTAAACACGCTGTTTCGCTTGTAGGCGCTTCATGTAAATATTTCATTCTACTGTGACACTTTTCATGCAGTGTTTCCGAACTCCTTATAATAGCGAGCATCATACCTTGCGATGCCTGCTCTCCATGTCCGCAGGAACACTCGCTATGACTTCTTCTTCCATTTTCTCATCAAAACCAGAATATGAAATCCACATGATCAACGCAGCGTTCAGAATCTTGGATATCAAATCTAAAAGAAAATTTGAGGAACATAGTTGGCATGAATATTATTTTCACTGCTCTCTCGACTTGCATGAAGTGAAATGGATACGGGACTTGAAGGTACATGTTTCTTACCTTTACGAGATCTTTGTCATTCCTTAATTATAAATATATTGTAAACTATATAATTAGAAAATTTCGTTCCTTCCAGGTGGTTTGCCGTATTGCGGTTCGTGAGTTCCAAGACACTCGAAGTGGCCCAATCCAAATGAAAGGGAACTTCTCTGGGGAGAATCCCGAGTCCCAAAAGCATTATGAGTTCGTGAATCCGGAAATCCATGCTCTCACACCTGATTTTGGACCGAAATCAGGCGGAACCCTGGTGAAAATCTTCGGCAGACATTTAGATGCAGGGAGAAATGTTTCGGCTACTTTGGGTTCCCGAAAATGTGACGAATTGAAGAGGTCAGTATCTTTAGCGAAGTACCAAATGCCAAATTGCATAACATATGAGCATCCCGCCATATATAAGTACTTGTTATTCATTATTGAATATGGGGAATCACTTTTGGACTACAGCGATTGATGCTGATTCGATTTGTTTCTGAAGAGGAATCTTAAGCCCAGTTTCCCAAAAATATTGAATGCGCAATATTGAAATGAAATGCGAAGTCAGCTACATATGCATTTCCTAATTATTTTTCCAAATGCGGTTGCTCATCTCAAGGATGGCTTACACGGTATATCTTCCAGTTACCAGAATACATCGATATTCCCCCCCCTTTATTTCACTGAAGCTGCAATGCATAATGATTTATGTTCAAGAAACCTGAAATTGTATTTCCTCAGTACTACAACAGTTTGTTCTATCACCGTATCTATCTCTTCTCCATGTGCAAACACAATACTGCCATTGGGGATGAGCTAGCACCAACCTGAGAAAGTAATTGTTGAGAGTTTGCGAGATAAGCTTCATAATCCTTAGGCCATTAAAGATATCTATTTCTAAAATTAATAACTGATTGCCATGGAAATCAACCGGCTTCTAAAGGCCACCTCTTGGTTTTAACCCTATTAGTGCCACGCTGTCGCTTTGGTGGCCAAAAACGAATATATATTACCCTTGGCACTAAAAGGGTTAATAGCAGAGAAACATTTATGAAATCACTCTTGATAAAAGCCCGTTGTCTTGGATTTTATATAATTCAAATATTGCAAATAAATTTTGCGACATATATGTGGAACCAGTGTCTTCAGTAGCAAATCAAGGAAATCCGGTTGAACGTATCCAAGAGCGTATAAACTTGGATGGTGGACCCTCAGAACATGTTCTATGAGGTTCTTCTGGCAAGCTTGATTTGAATTCGTATATTTACCTCATGACATATTTTGAGATCGAAAACTGACTTTCAGACACCATTTAAATCTACAGGATGATTTCGGCAGAGGCCTATGCAGTCAACTTTCGATATACCGCCACTATGGTTCTTCGCAGATTTTGGCGGTATATTGAGGGTGGCGCTATACCGAATAGCGCGGCTTTAAAGCGGAAAATTTCCTGAATAACTCAAATTTAATAGAATTAGTTTTTAAAAAATCCCTTTAATTCATACATGCTGGGAATAGAAAACAAAAGCGACACAGCCTTGAAAAATGATTCGATATTCGATGTTTACTATATAATGAGCACACTTTAAAAATAGTCTGGAGAAACTTTTTAACTCTGAAAACCGTTTCTATTCTCCAAAAGAAAGAAAAGTAGAGGCAGGATTAAGTCAGATTAAGAGACCCCTTACGCCCCCCGTTAATCCCTGGCGCCCGTGCCAAAGCTAAGTCATCCCTCATAATCTCGTTATCAAACGATCAAAGGGAAAGGCTGACAGCATGTCAATTTTTTCCATCACGGTAATGCTTGGTATAATCATTGTAGCTGGCACGGTATGCTGTTTGGCGCTATATCAAATACGATTTACATTGAGTATGGCATGTTTGTGCAAGGCAAGGTATTGGCGGACGACGGCTTGCGAGGGTGGCGCTATAATGGGGAAGCGCTAATAATAAACTAATGGGGAAGATTCGTTCTCAGGAAAAAGTTGGCAACAAATGAGAGTGGCGGTATATCGAGGATTGACTGTACTTCTTATCGGTATAGTGCTTTGGCTAGCATCCAAGCAGCATGTTTATGTCAATATTGTGCAATATTGATGTTAATTTTACCCTTTAATACGCATTAACAACGTATATATATCCTTTTCAGAAGCGAAATGTGGGCAGAATGCAAAACCCCTAGTCAAAATGAAACTGGAGAGGTGGTGCTTCAAATGGTGTTTGATTCCAAGAAAAGGGGTGAGCATTACTTCACTTACTTTGAGGATCCTGTCATCAGGGAAGTTCGCTCTGGAGGGTCTGGACCGGGCGAGAAACCAAGGAGTATCGCATCAGGTGGAATCCGCATCCATGTAGATGGCGAATTTCTCACTTCCGTGCACAAACCATACATATGCTTCAATGGAACCACGATTTGCGAAGTGAGACATATTAACGAATCATCATCTTCACCAGGTGCCAACGAGTCTAAGAAAAGGATAGGACACATTTTGTCAATTCAGAATTGAAAAACATCAAATTTGCAGGTGAAAAGTAACTTTGAAGTAAGGGAGAATGGCCATTTTCCGACTAATCACGTGCCATGATGAAACTTACGCCATTCGATAGAGCACCTCAAATAACTGAAATGTATCAATGGCCACCCCATGATTCGAGACTAAACCCTGATCCGCTACAGAGTGAAAAAGCGGACAATGTATTAATAATTTGACAAATTTCAACATATAATGTGCCAAACATATAATGTACCTACCAAATCGGACCCGTGGAATCGAATGATGGAATTGATAAATAATGTAACCTGATTGAACCACAGCGCTAAAAAAAAGCTATGTTCAAAAATTTTGAAGAGCCCGATTTGTAGTAGGACTGGCATTGCCATGAGGCCTTACTGCACCGTAAGAAAGGCGCCTATTTTTTGTAGTTTTTCCTCGTGGAATCAACCAGTTTCAGATTAACTCTTGAGGATACATTTTGTTCAGGTTCAAAAGGTAAAAGTTTACCCAAAAATAAATGCCTAATTCTTCTTTTCCATTATGCTTGCAGGAATGCCACGCTAAAAACGTGACATACATGCAATGCCTGAGCCCAGCATTGAATTATTCATACCCAACAACTGTATCCTATGGGTTTACACTGGACGGTGTGGAAGGTTTCAAGAACTTTGGTGATTTCCAACTGCTCAAAAATCCCATCTACTTTGAATTTGAGGAAGATGTCAAGCTGCATCTCGAAGGCTACCTCACCCTTGATGTGAGACAGAGACGTTCCTATGGTTTCCCCCGTCCTTTTACGAGTTTTAAGCTGATTTCTGGATAATGGGCATTTAAAACATTCAAACTCTAAATAGATACATTAATATCATACACCTGGAAGCCTGCATCTCACCGTATGACCCTACTCTCCGTCCCCTCACAGGCATTTTTTGAAAGGATTACCAAAAGAAACATTGGAAAGTATTGTCATAACTTAGATAAATGGTGAAATTTTCATTGATGATGGTTCCTCAAAGAAAAAAATGCCCGCAAAATAGGGAAGCGTGAAGACGTTGTGCATTAGCTTGATAGTGGCAGAGTTGCATACATGTAGTGAAGCCAAGTATGCTCTTGTCACGATGCTAATTATTCATGTAGAATCTAATCAAGTGGCAGACACCGCATCAATTTGACCTAACAAAATGTGCAGTGCTGAATACAACCTGAATGTTGAGGTCGTATCTCCATGTTGGAAAATTTGCTGGTTGACGGGAATTCCCAAGTGGTACTCTGCATTAACGGTGGTCGTCCACAATTGAAAACTAGCTGAAATGAGGAGTTTCCAACCTGATAATCCCTGCGTATTTTTGAAGAGTGACCTCAGAGATGGAACTAATGCATTCAATACTTGCAATCTATGCAGTGCAAATTTTATTCATGCGGAGACAGCAATTTCATATTTATATCTATTTTTTTCGGACAGTCGCTGAAGTCTTGACTTCGTCAATAAGGCTTGATATACCTTGACATGATGTTGCCCATGAATAACTCTATATTTAAGGCCGCCCCTTTTCCGTCTTCTTTGTACGTTTTGTTCTGTAGGGAGAAGATCTGAACGTGGCAATTTCTATGGAAGATGTGACTGTTTGGATAGGAGAAGAGAAGTGCAATGTGACCTCTCTTTCTATGACTCAGTTGACCTGTTTGCCACCAGAGGAGCAACCTAGGGGAAGCAATGGAGAAAACCCACCAACACTTACAGTTAGTTTATTCATAGCCTTGTCGTTTTCTCCATGTAACTATTCTCCTTGCCACCTCTCTCACCCTTTAATGGTTCAGGTTTGACTATGAATTCTTCAGCTGCATGCAACAGGAACTCATGAAAATAATGATAATGCAGAAAAAACATACACATCTTCATGTTCCTCACACAATGATTTACAATTTAACTCATTAAATGGAGCTGCTCATGCTGTACAGGACGTATCGTGACGAAAGGCTTCCCAGTCGCATGCCTTTCCAGGTTTAAGGGTGCAACGTACAATGTGAACATTTACCAAACGAGGTGGAATTTCATTTGTTCGTATCCTTCAAAATACTACCAGGGATAAATTACATTTATGAGGCGCAATTCAAAGATTTTATTAATCATGAAATTTCCTCATGGAAGTTGGCGTTTTCATTTCGTAATTTTCAGGTATACTGAGGTTCTCTCCCCTCTATAGTTTTATGCTGCTCCTTTTATACAATGTACTTTTAGTTCACAATCTCCATTGCAGGTGAAGGTGGGAAGAAACTTGGAATATTCCTTGGGAAAATTACAATACGTGGTAGAGAATGGGAGAAAGGGATTGTCGATAGGAGCTAAAGCTGGAATTGGCGTCCTTTCCGTCTTCGTCGTCCTCCTCCTTGTAGGAGGATACGTTTTTCACAAAAAGAGAACTGCGAGCCAAAAGGAAAAACTTCAGAATGACAGTCAAAAGCAATTAGAGGCTCTTGAATTGAATGTCATGGATGAATGCAAGGAGGGTATGTGCTGTTCCTCACTCAGCTGTCAAGACGGTCGATGTTAGACATGATATGAACCTTTTTCATTTGTAATTTATTCACCTCTTTATTGTTTTCATGCCAAAAATGAATGGTTACCTATACGAGTTACACGTTTCCACTTCCACTGCGACAAACTGCAGCATGAATAACTTGCAAGCACCAAGGGTTCTATGCGTTTATCGTTTATAATAATAAATTGAATCCCTTCTACGCAGGTTTTACAGAGCTGCAGACCGAAGTGAATGACTTCACATCGGACCTGGCAGATGGTGGAATTCCAATTTTGGAATATCAATACTACGCACTGAACGTCTTGTTTCCGAACAGGAATCCTACTTTCCCTATTGCACGCCCATCAAGTGTGGACATTAGAGGATATGAAAGCGAAGGTTTGGAGTTGTTCCATCGCCTCATAATGAAACGGGAATTCCTCATAACCTTCATTCATACTTTGGAGAAAGTGATGAGCTTGAAAGAGAGGTATGAAATTGGTCTCAGTCAGCATCGGCATTTTTGATCCTGTCCTACTCTAGCCAATTGGTTTCCTGCATCAGGGTGAGTATAGCCTCGTCAGTTATGATAGTGCTGCATGGGAAAATGGAATACTGCACAGAAATTCTAAAGAGGTTGATGTCTGATCTCATCGAGAAACATATGAACAGCCGATCACATGTGGTGCACGTTTTCAGAAGGTATGTTGTTTTCACTTCCCCATTCCATTTAGACGCATTTCACTTCTCTAATTCATAAAAAGCCGATGAGCAGTATCAAAATTGCATCAATCAATGAGAAATCCATGGGAGCGAAGAAATGAATGGTTATTTCTTTTTTGCGAGCATCTCTTCTTTTAGGAAAATGTCGATGTCGATAATAGTAATAAATATATAGCACATCGGGAAGACCCTTCCCACCTCCCTAAAAAGACATGGGGACGAGATCATGGATGGAAGTGGGTTCTTGAAGACCTGGTAGCCTAAGGTGGAGTAGCTTTCTGCTATATGTAAAATGCGCAGCCGCATACAAGTTATGTGAACTTGGTTATGGCAGTTCTGAGATACCAGGTCAAGCAGCATACACTTATTTCCCCTGATCTCGCTCGGAGTATTTTCCTATTTTTCCCGTCATGAAGGGAAGTCGCTTGCGCAGGAGGAGTTTCGTGAAACATCAAATGGTGTGCAATGCCGTCCAGCAATGTGTATTGGTCCAGAACTCTTCAGGTCAGCTTTCGAAAAGCGGTTGTATCTGTGGGAGGATTGAGTCCCCATCCATGGGGGCCACGTCGAGACTATTTTGACACCGTGTCCCTTGTAGCCCACGAGTGTGACCTGTGACAGACGAAGATAGCTGAGTAACCTACTGTACAGTCTGTCCCGGAAACCCCGCCCCAAGTTTTCTACATCATTGTTTTATTTTACTTCTGATGAAAATTGGTTTGGATCGTTCGAAAGCCTAGACCTTTCTTAGCATCTGCTGCTGTTAAGATAGGTGTTAAGTTATATGCTGTAAAACCCTGCAACATCCCTAACCTGATCTACTCCATTTCCACCAAACTGAATGCCATGATCTTGGATTTGCGCCAAATATTAATTGATGACTTTCCCGTCGATGCCATATATGTCATGATCAGAACGGAAACCAATTCGAGCGGGAAAAATATTGAATCCATGCTTCCTTATTCTGCGAAATTAAGGCAAAAATCATAAGTAAATAATTAAAATCAAATGTTTTTTCCATTCATTTAGTCTTAGTCTGCATTCAAACTGGGGGCGGGGATTCGGTGACACCTGAATATGTTGATATTAATACAATGGAGTTGTCACGAAGTGAATATATCATCATTTGTAGTTCGCCATGATTTCTGGCCTAGACTCGGTTAGGCTGTAACTTTCGAATCGTTCTTCCTACTTCTAAGGATTCTACGATGCAAAGCACCACGACAAGAGCAAAATTAGCATTACTTTCCCTACATCCCTTGTCTATAGGGTGCTATAAAACGCGCTCAATCGTTATCCTTTGAAGGAAGCATAACTTAAAAATTTACGGAACAAAATAAACAATTTGATACACTTGATCTTGGACACAGAAGTTGTTGAGATTATTGCCTTTATTTCTTTCCGAAACACATCTCTAAAACATGCATTTTCCAATCGCTACTTTTACAGTTACACCCATTCAAGTGCAATAATGGTCTACGTCCCATCCTCTGAAAATTTCATTAGTTTCCTTAAATTTGTCCCTTAAACCGATTTTAATTCTGTGTATGGCATGACTAGCGAGTTTGTTTGGCCGAAGGGCAAACAAACTCGGAAAGGTCGCGCCTTCGGCGTTCCATTACCTTAGATATTGATAAATTCTTTAATTTTTTTCGAAATGGGAAACACGTCTTTAAAGTACGTCCCCATTGAAATACATGACACATGGAGTCGAGAGACTTGACTTTTATCAAACTATTTACTTTAATGATTCCATGTGTGCCTAACTTTAAATCTTTTCTTGTGTCCCTTTTGTTAAGGGTGGAGAATACATTTTTAATTACTTGCCTCCTATAATCTACGCTAAGGAAACATATTTCAAAAAAAGGATTTTTCCTGTACTCAGCCATTAAACAAGAACTTCTCAGGGACGTTTAAATTTTCTGTCTCCGATTCGTTGGATCCAAAAAAAATCAGGAAAATGGCACTTAAAAAAAGCCCTGATGGGTTTTAGGGAAAAAATCTGAAATATCTTTTCTGAAATAGTGACTCAGGGAACTCCATGCCACCCAGTTTCAGCCTTATACGTTTCATACGTTTCCCCTTTTTGAATTATCGTCAGTCAGTCACAATCGTCTATATTAGAAAAGTATGCTTTTTTCTCAACGCAGCTATCCATCAGGTACTTATTGGCCAAGATTAATAACTTTCATGCGCCCTCTGTTTTGCTGGATGAGAAAATTCGTGAAAATACGCCCTTCGAAAAATATGTGCCTTGAGCAATTTTAACGTACCATTTTTTTCTTACCGAAATCCATACGCAGTGAATGCCAAAAATGCCAAAAACGTTTCAATCTTATACGTTTGCCCTTTCAGCCGATGAAAAAACATGTTTGGAAAAGCTGACCCTAACGCTATGCCCAGAGGGGAAACACCATGAATGCGGAGTACTCCCTCAGCTTAGTAATATGATGTCACTTATATGTGTGCCAAGTTTCACCTTTCCATTTCTGTCGAATTTGCCACAACAATTTTTTTTTAAACATCGCGCCTCGAAAAAATTCCCTCAGGGAATTTATCGAGATCTAACATTTTCATTTCAACTCCTTGTCTCAGTAGTCACATTCATGCAAAGTTTCAGCTTTCCATGGTCATCAGTTTAACTGATGCAAAAGAATTAGCTGAAAACATCTCCCTTTGAAATTTGTGCCCCCAGGGCATTTACTGCCAAAGTCTGAAGTTTACTGCAGAATCCCAATAGGTAGTTATGTACCAATTTTTATCTTTCCACACTAGCTCAATACGCCATGACAAAACATATTGAAACGTCAGCTCACAAAAATATGCCCTCAGGGCACGTAACTAAAATTTTGCATTTTTCCTGAACTCATCGTCTCGGTGGACACGTCTATGCCAAGTTTCAGCTTTCCATGTCTCTCCGTATTACTCAAGCAAAAATAATGTTATGTAGGGGGAATGAGTAAATGGACATGGAAGGCCAAAAAAGCCTAAAAAAAGTCAAGGAATAGCCTGGAATTGAACTCGGACCTTTTGATTGTGATTTTGATGACCTTTTGATTTTGATGACCTTTTGCCAGTTAGATATGTTACTACTTCACCACTGAACCCAGCACATTCAGTCGATTCTCAGAATGCCATTCTCATCTGTCACAAAATATATTTAAGAAAAATGTTTCCCCACCCCCCCAATTCGTACCACTATGGCATTTACCTCCAAAGTCGGATTTTATGTGAAATATACATCCCAAAAAGCACGTGTGTACCAAGTTTCACATTTCTAACCCTTCTACTGGTTAGAATTAGCGTCAGTCAGTCAGTCAGTCACGATCGTCTATATATATTTGATAAGGATGTCACTGAGAGGCACAAAAGAATGAATGTCCCGGGTTCGGTGGTGTAACGGAAGCGCACCTGACCGGTAATCAGGAGATGCAGGTTCAATTCCCGTCCGTCCTCTCGCTTTCTTTCGTCCTCTCCTCGATCGCTTCTTCTCTCCTGGTCACTCTCATGACATGTATGTATTTCAAGAGAGCTTTTTTTGACAAAATACAAATTGTATGTACTTTACACGGTGTCCCAAAAGTGACGGAAACATTTCAAAAAGTAATATCTCTCTAAATTATGACTTTAAAAAATGATTAAAACAGTAAAATGAAGTGCAACTCAAACAACTCAACCCGCTATGGCAATTCCACATGGGCACCATTTGTGATCCTGCATGTGTCTAAGCGATTTTCGAACTCTTACCACACCTTTTGCAGTGTTAGGCATAACTATCAAGGCAGCTCGTACGATAGTGCCTTGTGGAATTACAATAACAGGTTGAAACAGAGACATACAATTTAAACTTCCCTCAAAAGTATCTATTTGGTGCCTGAGTATAGGGAAAATCCTATTTTTGAAATATGTTCCATTAGCGTAGATTAAAGTAGGGAAGTATTTCAAATTTGAAGTCTCCTGGGTGGTGAACACCCACCTCCACACAAGAAAATATTTCAAGTTAGGCACTCTAGGAATCATAGAAGTAATGATTTTGATAAAAAGCAAGAGTTTTGTCCCCATATTTCACTTATTTCAATGGGGACGTACTTGAAATGCGTGTTTGCCATTTCGTAAAGAATAAATGAATTACTCACTATCCAAGGTAATGGTGCGCCGATGGCGCGGCTATAGCGCTAGTATATATATAATATACTAGCGAGTTTGTTTGCCCTTCGGGCAAACAAACTCGCTATTGTCGCGCCTTCGGCGCTCTATTACCTTGGATAATGATTCATTCATACATTTCTTGCGAAATGGGAAACACGTATTTGAAGTACGTCCCCATTGAAATACATGACACATAGAGTCGAAAGTCTTGATTTTTATCAAAATCATTACCTCTATGATTCTATGTGTGCCTAACTTGAAATCTTTTTTGTGTCCCTTTTTTAAGAGTGGAGAATACATTTTAAAATACTTCTCTCCAATAATCTACGCTAAGAAGTCATATTTCAAAATTGGTATTTTCCTCTACTCAGCTGTCAAAGAGGTAATTCTGAGGGAAGTATACTTTTCTGTCTCTGTTTTGTTGGATGAAAGATAATCAGGAAAATGGGACTGAAAAAAGTGCCCTAATGGTTTTTTTTTATATGAAATATGTTATTCTTTTGAAATGTAGACTCAGGGATTTCCATGCCACCCAGTCTTACGTTTTACGTTTCCCCTTTTTGCTGGCGGAAAAAAAATGTATTTGGAAAAGCGACCCACCCAAAACCTATGCCCGGAGGGGATGCCCCATTAAAGCTGAATACTCCCTCAGTTCAGTAATATCATTTCACCTATACCTGTGNATCCACATCTTGCTTTGGCTAGAGCAGCGCATCTTCCCTGACACGATCGTCTATATATATTAGATATAATATATTATATATATGTATATATAATTTATATATAAAACTTTAAAATATAGTTTCAAGAATGATCCATCTATAAAAGCGTAAATGGCATTGTCCGACTTAGACACGGATGCTGAAAAAAACTGATGCTCATCTTGACAAACTGTAACCATTCAATTTCGATCGCATAGTGGATGTATTAATACATGTTTGTACATCTGAAACCGTCTTTCTCCCATAGAAAGCGGAAGGGCGTTTATTAAAATCGCCAAATATACGTTCGCTAGAAAAAGATATTCGCGAGGATGACGTAGAGTTTAAATTCTGCTGCCTTTCTCTGCCTCATGAACAATGAACTAAAACCTTATTTTTCCCAATACAAAATGTTGACTATGGCATAACGTCGTTTAAACATGATGCACCATTTTAGGGCATTTTCGAACTAGGAGGCCTACTTTACTTCCGCTCTCTAATTACTTCAGTTGGCTTCTGTGACCATCCTTACTTTAGTCTAAAGTATTTGTCTTCTGAAAACATCAATACCATATGCTGAGCGGTATCTCTATAATTGCTCTCTGCATTCAATGAATGGGAATTATGTCCTTGAATAATAATATTCAGATTTACATATCGTGGTCACCTGCAGGACAGAGAGCATCGTGGAGAAAATGATGAGCATCTGGATAAGCCTTCTCTTGTACAAGTTTCTTCGAGACCGAGCAGGAAAGCCACTGTACGGTCTTTTCAGATCGGTGAAGCATCAGATAGGGAAGAAACCCGTAGATGCCTTCACACATGAGGCACGCAACTGCCTCTCAGAAGAAATATTGCTTCGGGAGAAAATTCAATACAAGGAATTGGTGAGGAATCTGTGTTCTGAAATACCTCTGATGTGTTTGGAAATGAGATTTGTTGATTGTCTGACCAACTTGTTTTGCTATCTATCGATTTAAAAAAAAATCACATGCATGAATGGGACAGTCATTGATTAAACCTCTCTAAATTGTGCTTATATGGATCACAACATTCGGAAATGCATAGCAATATCCATCAAATTAAAACTCACTCGAGTCACTGGTGATCTCCTTAAAGTACCACATAATGTTAACGTCTTGCCTGGACACTATACCTGCAATCATATCAGACCAATTGTGAACACAATATCTTCACAGTTTGAAAATGTAATTCTTGATTAATGCGACATGGTGAATTTGATCCCATCTACAGCTCAGTAAGAATTCATTTTTAAAATAGCTTTCCGAGATAGTCTTGTAATCATGTTCATATCTTGCCCTCCAGTTACATTGCGTGTCCTTATTTCATTTATATCCTACTGGCATTTCCAGAATATCCTTTTAAAACATTTTATAGGCGATAAGAGAGTTTATGGTGTTCTTGGATGGGCTTGCAACCAGTTTCCCTTTCCCATCCCTAAAAAACAAAAAAGGAAAAAGAGAAAATGAAACGTCAATGAGAACATTGCAAACGTAATCTTGAAAAGAAAAATGTGTCATAGGTAATTCGGACCTCATTAAGGGTTCAAATTACTTACGCATCACTGACGGGAGAGAGACACTCAGATGGACGATCGGCGCCATTATAAATAAATTGTTGCAGATAATATACATTCTGAAAGCGAAGATGTCAGGCAGGGGTCTCAAACTCGTGGCCCGTGGGCCACATGGGACCCGCAAACACTCTCAATGTGACCCACGACCCACCTGCGTACACCGAGAGAGAAACGCTTCAGTCCCAATTTATACAATCAGTGAAAACCTCTTCACCTTGGCCCACATAGAGGTCCGATCTTGATTATGCGGCCCCCACACCGAAACGAATTTGAGACCCCTGATATGTTTGATCAGTATGCACAAAAGTCAAACCAAAGTACAATGACGGTGACATCTCAGAGCGGCAACTTCATAACCATTTGTAATGTCCACTAGTACAGGTTATGTAACAGTTTCTGGAAGATTTGGCAATCATGATAGGAAGACATGAAACAGACCCAGTGAATGTGTATTAGAATATCCCAACTACACTAAACATTTTCAACTATCTGATGAAGCCTGTTCTCTTCCAGACGGTGTTCATATCTCTGCCATCCCAGACCTCATATGCCTGTGGTCTTGAGCCTTGTAAGGAACAGACGGATGTCCAAGTGCGCGTCCTGGATTGCGACAGCATATCTCAAGTGAAGGAGAAAGCCTTGGATGCGATATTTGGCAGCCAACCGTTCTCCTGCCGGCCCGCTTTGCACAAACTAGATCTCCGTGAGTCCTTTTCCATTTTACTCGAGAAACTGATGCTTGTGGACGTGTATATCCCACCCTTGATTAAGACTGCATCATCGGCGGCAATGAGGAATTTTCACGATGGGAGTGAATTCATGTTTATTTATTTAGAGCCATATGGTTTATAATAAACTGAACTGAGAACAATTATGATATCACAATCTCTATTATACAATTCTCCATTACGATGTCCTATTGAAGCGATCCGAGGGAAAAACAACACGCATAATATATGAAGCTCTGAGATTTTTGTGAATTGATACTGTATAACGAATTCCATTATACAGGAATGACGGCTCCATATCTTTCACATGAGTCATCATTCATTACATGATGATTCCAAGCAGGAGTCTCGACATAGCTATTGAAGGAGCACAAATGGCATTACTAGTATTCTGTTTCCCCAGTTTTCCGTTTTATGAAATACGTTTTATGATACGGATTTTGAATGGGACTTTAAAGGCAAAGGTATGCGCATTTACCATTTCCATTCACTTTCCATGATACGGTTATCCTGTGGTTGCCGTTTTATATTTGAATGATGCATTCGAACAGAATCAAGAGTAAGTGTGACCGACAGGATATGATTCATTTTTATAACCAAAACAAATATAAGCGCTGATATGCAATATAAACTACTTCATCAAGTTTTCAATTAAAAACCGATATCAGATCTGGTATAATTCATGCCTTATCAATCATTACCTCTCGTGGCTTTCTTATTAGAATATCGATAACAATTCCGTTACATGATCAATAAATTGTTCCATTTACTCCCTTATTCTCTTTTATTTCAATATGATATGATCAACAGGGAGTTTCATTGTAAGAGTGATACATTATAGACTCATTCAGTATGAAATCAGACGACATATATACCAAGTTTTCTTATGTTCTGTATCACCTAGCACAGGACTAACTAGGAAAAATTGAAAAAACAATTTCTAGCTGCCGAGTTTGTACATACAGTTTGAAACCCTGAGCAGTTACTTCTGCAGCTATTACGACCTACTCCGAAGTCCTTAATAGATGACAATCGAATTCATTCGTATACGAGACGGCAGCAGTAACTAACGGCAAGTCAATACGTTAATATGATCAAAAGCAAATGCAATATTTATTTCGCTAACACCTCAGTGACAGCTAAATTATTAAAGAAAGCATGATCGTGCAAGTCCCTGAGACCTTCTTTCACATCGGCATGTTAATAGCATATGAAATATATCATATTTGTCGGCATTGGAATGCTCCGCGAAAATCCACTTTCTTAGCGGTCTATTGAAATTAGAGATGTGTAGAGGGAAATTGAATCAGATGTTAATTTCCTTACTATATATTAATATTCCAGAATGGCAGACGGGGGTATCGAAACCGATGTTCCTTCGAGACGAAGACCACACCTCGGTTGTAGAAGACGGTTGGATTCGAATCAACACCCTCCATCACTACCGAGTAATGATCTCTTTCATTAAAAAAAAATTCCCTCAGTGTTTGATGTGATCTCTTCCTCTAATGCTTTTCTTCTTACCTTTTCCTGATTATTATCTAAGGAAAAGCTTAAATCTATTCAAATGTTCTACTCGAACGGTTAACCGATACTTACAGAGATACATCATTCCTAGGTTTTAAGATCATTTTATTACATATTGACTTGCACTTTGTCGGCACAACAGTTGGAAGTGAAAATATGGTAAGCGAAAATATATATAAACTTTTGTGGATAAAGCAAATACCTTACTTATAACGCATTAATCATCAGTCAGCAAATCAGCTTCCTAACTCTTTTCGGATGAGTTACGAAGTTCGCGTTCACAAATATTCAGATATTCCTGTTGATTTGTATCACATACTTTATACACATTCTCGGACATGTATCGTCTGAGTTCCTTTACTTCAATTATGCCTCGCGGGCATCCATTAGTGCATTCCCAATTTCATATGAAGATTCAGGAAATTAACATAAAACAATATGGTTTCGGGCTTCCATAAAAAAAGTGCATTACAATTATTTTGTCATACCAGAGAAACCCCTCTTCCACGTGCTTCTATAGCATACCAGAACGGAATTGGACAGACATATGACATCCGATGACATTATTTTTTAGGTTACTGACGAGTCAATTTTGCTACTGGTGCCAAACCTGACGATAGAAGAAGGAGAAGATAGCGGGGGAATAAAATGCAGTCAACCACTCATTTCTTGTCATAGTTCTCCCGCAACTCCGAGGCAGAACCATAAAGTTTTCTTAAAGAACCCTTTCCCAAAGCGTCCCCAAGAACCTCCTGTCCCACAGGGAGAGCTGCGGAAGTGGCATCTGGTACGAGAAGAGGAAGAACATCCACAGGGGAAGAAAGTCAGAACGATTCCTGAAGTCTATCTCACTCGGCTTCTTTCAACAAAGGTGGGATTGGCGTGGTATTATTTATTATGAAAATTTCTCATGTATTTGGGTTGTGGTAGATGGGCGCAACAGTCAATTGCTGAAAAAAAGGAAGGATGAAGTAAAACGAGACATCAACGTAGGTAAGGCAGACGCTCTATTGCAGGAGCGTTATTCAAAGTAAATATGTCATCGATTTAATCAGAATGTAAGTACCATCTTGTCATTACTATACCATCATATGTATACCTATGTCTATATCCCTCATAAAATAGCAAATTGTCTTTCTTTCGTAATATCTGGCAATTACATCTTTCAGATTCTGCCTCCACTAATGTGGACAACACCTTTATTATGTTTCTCTCTGGTTTCCTCATGGTCTCATTGACGTCACGTGTCATAGTCCATTATATATTAGTAGATAATATTATACACGGCTGAACTCTATAGGAAACTCTATGGCTGTCAGTTGAATTCTACTCTGAAAATCTGAAATATTTTTTCTCCTAATCGTATCACTAACTCAAACGTGAAAGGGTAAACTAATAACGTTAGCAATGCTATTGGATATGCACCGTTCTTGCTGTAAGGCGTAAAAATCGTTGCTTCTGCTTCGCTGCTTCGTCAGATTCTTAATGAGTACGATAATTAACCGTTTACATATTGTCTTCAAAATTGTGACAACCGGAGTTCATTATAAAGTATATAAACTTTTTTTTTCCCATTTCCGTATTCGCTAGCAAGCATTACAGTCGTATGTCGACGAATTGTTTCGAGCAATTCTGACTGTGGATGATGAGAGTCGACGTCTTCTCTTACCAATCAAGTATCTATTTGACTTCCTCGACCAAGAAGCTGAAAATCGGGACCTCGGGAATTCTGATGCACTCCACTCATGGAAAAGCAACAGGTAACAAGAACACAATGTGAATCCTGTCGCTCATAACTCATGTTGGCCATTTGGAGGTGAACATCCATTTAAATATATGTATGTTCCATTAGTGTGCCTCTTAGGTTCTGGGTTAATATAATGAAGAACCCGGAGTTTGTGTTCAGCATTCAAAAGAGCCCCACAGTGGACTCCTGCTTGTCCGTCATCGCGCAGACCTTTATGGCTGCCTTCTCCAACTCCGACACCCCACTTGGTCAGTCCCTATTTCTCTGCGTTTGTTTTGTATATCTTACATTCGAGAAGAAAATGTAATACGTTGACATATTTTATTAGAATTCCGCGGGATATTTAGGTACGAAATTGCACTTCTTGAGCAGGATTTCTAGATTGCTTTAGATGTTGCATAAATTGCATGAGAAAAATCCGTTTGGCTTCAAAAGTTGGCCATTCTCTCATGCAATCGCGCAATCTTTCAGGATCTAGAAATATTACATTGGATGACCCAAAACGTCGGGCGCGCTAAAACGTATTTTCACACTTTTTAGGAGCATGCCTTAGGATTCATTGTTTTACAAAGGCTTGGTCATTGCTCCTCCGAATTCAGGTACATGTCACTTTAAAAACGCAAAACGCATATTTTCTTCAAACTAGCAAAAGTTTTACACGCTGAAGCTCTCTGAAATAAAATAATTTGCAGAATAACCTAAGAGTTGCAGCCACTGAGTAAAAATTGCATTCACAACCATGAAGTGATGATACGAATCGAATTAGTGTAATCTTTTCAGCCTCCTTTGAAGCACGACTTATCTTCCGAGTTGGTATGAACCTTCACTTTTACCTTAAGGCTTGTTCAGAGATGGTTATGGAAAAAAATGTGAGTCAGTCCGCCACATGCTAATAATGATGCTGAATGAACAATGCAGTATTAAACCATTCATGACTGACCAGCTGACCAGTTTCGGTGAAAATAATGGATTTTATATGACAATTTGAATTGCCGCTCAAACAATTCATCATCTTAATCAATATGTGTCTTCGGATGGCATTCGCTAATAAATTTTCATGCTTCAGAAGAACATTCCTGGAAACGTTCCGTGTTCTCTTGAATCGAGGAACCATTAAAAATCCTTCATTGGAAAGCATAGTAACCATAATAACCATTGACAAAGAAGAATATATGCATCCAATTTGTGAAACGAAGAGGAAGGAATGCATACGTTTGTTTCTCTTGAATCAGGAAAAGACAGCCCGAATGCAAGACTTTTATATGCAAAGGATATTCTTGTGTATAAGAAGTGGGTCAGAGAGTACTACAAGAACATCAAGTTGATGCCTTCTGTCACACATCAGGAGATGACAGCCCTTCTTGCTGAACTTTCCACGGTTCGTTCTATGACATTGAAGTTATTGTCAGGGATGGTGCGAATGTGGAAATACGTGTCTTTGACTTAGACGAAAGTATCACCGCATGCAGAATAGCTCAGCACCTTTTGGGGAAGGTTTTCGATTTTCAGACTTTGGCAATGCGATAATCAATTTTAAAATGTATTTTCCGCCAGCCACTTAAGAGTATTGTCTTGGGATGCCTGTGAGCGTAAATGTTTTCCAGAGTGTAAAGAGATGAATGACAGCAAATTTTGCAACTCAAAAAAAATGTAATACACGTGCATAGAAGTGTATAGAATGTATGTACATATATATTAATCCATGTTGTCCCTTTCCAGGCCGAAAGAATGACCTTCAACACTCATGATGCACTCACAGAACTGTTCGACTCTGCTAAGCACTTCAGGAGGCAGCTGAAGGAAGCCTTGGAAGCAAAAGACGAAGCATTAGAGAAAGAATTTTCTCATGCCCTTGATCTTGAATCCTTATCGTGATTCGTAGGCAGCAACAAAATAAGTGCAACGAAGATCTCACATATATATTTATCTTGCTAAAATAGAGATTTTACATGATCAATAATAATCACTGCTTGAATAAATCCTAATTTGGCAATTTGAAGCCAGTGTTTGTATTGTTGAACACAGATTCATGGATCTTGCGGCATGACGCACTGATCACATTACGTGAAATCAATTATTACCTCATTTTAGTCAAAACTGAGGGAGTAATAGCATGAAGCACAAATTGCAACGTTTCTTCAATCACAAGACATGAAAATGTCATACACAAGATATCATTTTATGAAAATGTTACATGGAATATAAGGATTGATCCATTGGGGAATATTAAGGAAAACGCAGCATTTCAGTCATGAAATACAACATTGCATTGTTTTGGATATGTGCTGTATTCCGACGATAGAAATCGTCATATTAATGTATTTTAAACTATAATCCTGCAATCACTTGAACGGTAATTATAATATTGACAATGAACATGGCAAGTGGCATGATTGCTAGAAGTCATACCGCTAATATTGTTTTTTTTTTACATTAAAAGCACATTGCAACACCATTTGAAAAGGGCCCGTTACAAAAGGAAGAGCAAAATATCAGCGGTGCCTACGAAAATCTCATCCTTCAAACATTTACATCCCAAACAATTTATTCACATTCTAATCCCTTCAACATGAAGCAACGCTCATGATGCAATACCAAAATGACTTAACTCTGAAAGAGAAAAATCAACGAAAATTTTGACTCAAGGTAAAGGTTTATAACTCGATAATAGCATGAAATTCTGCCGCAGAACAGGAAGACCTCCGATATTTCGTATTATATTAATGTTATACAATTTTAATGAAGAAGTCAGACATTTGCCAACTGATTCGACATGAGTGACCAAATTAAGCATGATCATTTGACCGTCAATAAATGCGTGACTAAGTCAAATTGGATCTAATCTTGCAATGAAAATATCAATTACGTAAGCTTCTGCATCATATCACACCATCTCTGCAATAGTCCAGAACAATATTTAAAGGTACATTATCTTCGCTCTTTTAAGTTACTGGATACTACGTCGAAATTGATTAATATAAGAACCGGTTTGAGAGGATTTATGTTTTCTTGCTGAAGTGTTGCTATTTCAAGGGCAGGAAACGCATTTGCGCAATGCAATCGTAGAAAAAAAAACCAAATGATATAGGATTATCATCAACACTGGTAACATAGTGGAGAAGACCACACTCAGACGCCTTGTGATGAGACACCCGTGTAATTTGCATTGCTTCCTGTCCTTTTCTTCGAAGATGTTTCCACACGCGCGGCATGCTTCATACGTCATATGAATGCAATACTTACTACCCTGCAACTCATCTGAAAAAACCCCTCGCAATCAACAGCTTCAATTAAGTTGGCTTCGTATTTGGAGAATCGATCATCACGTAAAAATTGTTATATGACCTTGAAAAGATAGGATTCCTGGAGCAACATTGCGCTTCCTTCTCTTACTGTCAACTCTATTAAGGAACTAAAGGAAAATAGTTACATGGGGATTACTTTGAAATCATTCCTCTTCTTGCGATATCCCCCATCGTAAATGCGTATCAAATTTGGATTATTTTTCCCAGGTGTACGTTGCAGGAGAAATAGCCCTCTCTCTAAAGAATATATCGGGGGTTTCCCCCTAAAATGTAATATTCAACAGATATAAGGCTATTTTTCACATCGTGCTTCTTCTGGGTAAATGATGCTACTGAAAAAAAGTTAAATTAGCTTAATGAAAATTAATATTCATATTTCAGCAAAAAAATTTAGCAACTAAAACGGCAACATAAACCTATATAAGGAAGTTTCCGTTGCTAAGTTAAGCGACGTTTTACATTCTGAGCACTAGGGGTTATTGTATAATGCATGGCCTAATGCGCCTTCACTAGCATAAACTGCCCCATCAGAGACTCTTGATCGAAATAAAAAACGGCGAGAAGTCACTCCCATTCCACATTTTAAGAAGTATATTTCACTGCTGGTAAGTAAAATGCAACTCTTTTGAATTTGTTAGTTGGGGGGGGGGGTGGCGGGTTGGAGCCCAAAGTATTCTTCTCAGGAGGAATTTAATCCACGAATCGGATTTTATTCGAAATCAAGAACTATTTTACTGTATCGTATTTCAGCTACTAAACCAATGTGGAAAATCCTCGACAATAACTCCCCCATTCGCTGCTCGCTCACTCCCTCAACCATGATCATTCACGTAAATTAGATGTGAGGATCTGACCGACACACCAGGGTTCTTTATTTAAATCCATAAGGTAAGAGACGCTAGCACCAATACCTTCATTTTCTTCAAAATGTGGAGGCATTTGTTATTTCAAGCATTATTCACTACTTATGTATATTCCTTTCTGAGATTCCTCACCCTATAATCATCAGGAATCCAGTTTGACATGATATGACACATCTCTATTTTCTAAAATAAGGACTAAACTTTTGCAACACCAAAAACCAAACGACACAGTTCCTAATGGAATACACGTTCGTGAAAACCACAAAATAATAAATCAGTGCGCGGAAAAATTCGAAGGCCTTCCCGATGAATTTGTTGACTCTGCGAAGCTGGTTCATCCCGGATTCGTATCAAGGGGTGAAACGTTGAACCAGTCCTTTCATCTGGATGTATTGAATCGCCTTCGTGAAGCTGCCCGACGGAAAGGGAGAGAGAAGTGAATGACAGACGCGTTGATTCTGGAACATGGCTACGCCCCAATTCACACTGGCGTCTCGGTGTAACACTAATTAATGACGAATGTCATCAATATTCTCGACTACCGGCCTTACTCGACTGGTTTGGCTCCATGTGACTTCATTTTCCTAGTTGAAATGAGCGCAGTAGGGGAGGAGATTTGAAGATATTGAGACGATGAGAAACAATGAGACGATGAGAAACAATGAGACGATAGCGCTTCAGGGGATAACTAAAGAGGACTACAAGGAATGGTCCGGAAGGTCGCAGGAGCGCTGGACAAAGTGTCTGCGTGCCAATAGTAGGTAACACTTTGTTGAAGACAGCTCTCAATAGCCAAATAGCCCAATATAACTAAAATTTTGTGTTACCTCAAGAATAAATCAGTGCGCGAACACATATTGTTTGAACACATAGTTTGAACACATATTGATCTCTCCAATTACCCTAGATTACGTGGTTTTCTAGACATTATCATTTGGCAGGGTGATGGTGGCATAGCAGGTCGCGATTGACATGTTCGTCTCCTGTATCACATACTTTGCTGCAATTCTCCTGTCGGAGTGTACCATGTTCTTCACACAGTGGACACCATTGTTGATTCGTGGGGTCGAGAGGTGTCCAGAGTGTAAGTCGTCTTTGGTAGATTTCCCATCACGAAAACGCCAAAGAAAATCGTTATACAAGCTGGAGTAGACATTAGCGAGGTGCAGCATGTCGTAAGTCTCCGATACTGTATTCCCGAATTTTAAGCTAAATATAATGCACTCTCAATTCTAATAAAAGTCACCCATTCTGTATTTCGATGATGAGCTGTGTCACGTCCGGCTGCGAAAGCTGCAATCAATTTACGGATGTCGTTTGTCGTTTCACGACAGTTAGGCGATTTTTAGCTTCCTTTGGTGTTGTATGGGCATCTCTTATCAGGGTCGTTCCGATATTCGGATTATTTTTGCTTGTTCATCAGACGCTAAGTTAGGAAGGCATTATGACAAGCAAATAAGGGATATGAAGAACAGTCCGATTCACATGATTTCACGAGAGCTGTGTTTGCGCGCTGAGCAGGATTGCTTTGTCTACTTAGGGCAGTGAACACTTCGGAATAACTTTTGTTCGTTTTAGATGTGGGGAACACAGGCATAGTTTTAGGTGGAATGCCTACTTCAAATTTTCATTGTAATCACTTTCACGATAAATTACGTTTTGTGATTCTCCGCTTATATTAACCACTTCCCTGCCCATTGTAATCAGAACAGTCCATGAATATTGGCTGGTGGAAGGTCCCATGCTACTGGAGGTTCGAAAACTAAAGCATACGGGATTCGTAGCTTTCTCGAATATGATCCCCTTTGGAATTTCTCTTCATTATTGTCCTTTTCTTGAAAAACTGTAAGGACTGCCATTATCAAGTAAAAACCATTTCCCGGTGACCTCTACTTCCACACAGAAGATGAAAGTACAAACGTCTGAAGTACAAACATCTATAATAACCCTTTCCGCTGCAATGAATTAAAATTGAAAAACAGACCCGTCAAATGTACCCACATCAGCTGTACCCATTAAGTTGGTTTTACCTAAATGTATTGCTGAAATAACTACTAGTTAGCCGGATTTCTCATACAGGGTGTAACATCTCCCTATATTGCAACATGTTTGCCTGAAGCAATGTTTGGGAAGGGTCTGCCCAATAAATGTGTTTTAAGGGAGATATACATGAACGATGTTTTTTTCCTAAAGATGGCACACCGCCAACCACTTTTTCCATATAAAAAATGCGGCTTTATAGCATACATGGCTGTTCCGTTGGTGAGAGAACTTCTGAAGAAAAGACGCCCCTGTAAAACGTCCCACCAGAGAGTTCATGAAAAAACTATGCATTTTTCTAAAGTCAGCCACCTGAGAGCGACTTGTGCACGGAATTTCAATTCACTCGTGCCGAAATTGAGTCCATGCGTGGGGAGATAGAGAGTTAGTGCGTCAATTATCTTATCAATGTCGGGAATTCCACAGGAGCTTCCTCCGTTAATCAATACGGTTGCACAGTCCTGGCAGTGTTTTCCACTGAAACAGTTGCTATCTTCGGTGCTTCAATCATCGTGTGCGCTGGAATATGAAGAATGTAGAGAATGTCCAAGTGTCCTTTGTTGTACTATTGTGGTTGCGGACATCACTGAGTCTCAGCAGTGACATCTTCCCTGCTTCACCAGTCCGTGAAGAATTTGGTGACCTGGCGTTCAATCGAATGATTTCA